CAAAATTGGATGTCAACACCAATAATGTGTTTGTGTCCATCTAGTATTGATATTTAGCTTTAATTTTATGATAATATTTTTTGTGTCCATCGATTGTTTGTTAAGCATAAGTACCAACACTAGTTGATTCTATTGATGACAAAATTGATTTTCTTGCAAAATCGATTTGTGTCCATCTAGTGTTGATATTAAGCTTTAATTTAGGAATACTGTGTTTGTTAAGCATAAGTACCAACACTAGTTGATCCTATTGATGACAAAATTGATTTTCTTGCAAGATCGATTTATATCTATCTAGTGTTTACACTATGCTCTTTGCTTGACTGAAAACTTGAGCCTTAAAATGAAGTTAAAACATTCAATAAAGACTCTTGAACAACTTTAAAAACTTAGCTTCTTAACTTCCAAGCTTAACTCTTAAACTTCACTTGATTTGGAAACTAACTCTCCTTGAATTGGATTTATATATTCAAGGGGTTTGATCACATGTTATGGATGAGTTCTTGACGTTTAGACGTACTTCGGAGTGTCGGAAACAACTATGAAACATAGGTACTTTACCAAGGAACATGCATGAGAAAGTGTGAAAAGAATGGGGGAACTTGGCGTCCTTGGCGCTCTGCAAGGCGCGGAGCGCCAGCCCTTGAAGCTCAGAAGGACTGCTGGCGCTCTGCTAGGCGCGGCGCCCCAAGGGGGAAAGTTCTGAGCCTCTTTTGGGGCGCGCTGGCAGGCGCGACGCGCCAGCCCCTTCCCCAGAAAATCCAATGTTTCTCCCTCTTTTTCCAACTCTAAACCACCCTAACTTCAAAGGTTTCAACCCCAACCACTAAGGATCATAAAATCCCTCAACATACAAGAGATTCAACTCAATGACACAACCAAATCATGTCCCAAATCAACAAGGGACTCCAACAACACAAATCAACAACATCAACAATACAACCAACAACTTCAACAACACAACCAATCCTTTCTCGAAAATAAAACGAGCTTGGCGTGTGGGGGAAAAGATCAACCCAACACTATGAACTCACATACCTAGTAGGGATCACCCCTGACGATATCCATGACGGAAACTTGCTTGATCTCCTTTTTCTCCTCTTCTTCTCCTCTTCTTCTCTTCTTCACTCAAAACCCTCACTCTCACTCTCTTTTAAAAAAGCAAAACTAATCAAAATCAGCTTGGACCCTTAATATATATCCAAAACAAATGATTTGGGAAAAGACCAAAATGCCCTTAAAATTTCCGGACGAATTTCCCTGCCAACTGCCCAACTTCCAAAGGGGATAACTCCCTCATACGAACTCGGAATCGAGCAAACTCAGCGGCGTTGGAAAGATCATTCCACGAGATTTGCAAGAAAAACTGGAACTACACCTAAATCATCCTGAGCTAGGAGTTATGACTGTTCCAAGTTGGCCAAAAACTCACCTTTCTCCATACTTGGCCAAATTTCCAGATTTGTAAAAGGCATAATACATATATTGACCCCTAAACTTGGATTCAAATTTTAACTTTGACCTTTAACTTTGTAAGTGCACAAATAGGCATTTTAACTATCCAAAACTTAAACAAAAAAACACTCGGATCCTACCTGGCAAAATGCGTGAAATACACTCAAATTAGGCGCGTCAGATGTAAAAATTCAGGAGGTCAACAGTAAAAAAAGCATTGAAAGGACAATTAAACCCTTTTTATATTTTTTTCAACAATTTTCCCCTCTTTTTTGCATTATTTGTTGTTTACT